ACATTTTAAACAGCTTCCACCTGCCTTAGTGCCAGCTTTCTTCCCCAGCCTCCAAATTGGTCCTGAAAACCACCTCTCTTGTTTCACCCTCCATCCCTCATTTACTGTGTTCATATCTCTTTCCATGCTTGTGTCCCATTCTTCACACTGAATGTATTGCATCTACTCAATTTGGACAAAGATTGTTAGGGCACTCTCTCTCTCTCTGGGTTGGTTGTAATTCAGGGGTTGCATAATTTATTTTGAAAGATGATTTCATGCTTACAAAATATTTCACCATGACATAACATACATGTGCTTAAAATTATTAATACCAGACAGGCCCAAGCACGGTATCACCAAATATAGCAGCCAAGCACAGAATAATAGGTAAGCTTTAATGATGTTATAGTCAAGAGAGATGGATCATCACCCTGACAAAGATACCCCATGTCCAGGAAGGTGCTTTGGCAATGTACACAAGATTCATTCAGGAACAGAATTACAGATAGGATGGTGTGTTTTCAAAATTGTCTGCCTATATATCTGGGCAACGAACTATATCCAGAATTATCTTCAGTTTGAACAATACGCCAGGATCAAGGTTTTTCAAAAATGAGCCCAACTTTAGGCTTCTGTCCATTCCTCCAACTTCTTGACAGAAGAAAGGAGACATGACAAAGCCAGTCCATCAGCGGTACTTAGCAATGGTATGGACAAAGAGTCCGTTGCATGAGCAGCAAGCTCTCCCACAGCGACTACAAGTCCACTCGCCAGATGGCAGTTGAATCATACTCTGCTTCCTGGCTCACTTGCAAACCTCAGCCAGGATCTCTACCATGATTGCACCAGTCTTAACATTGCTTCTCTAAACTGAATGACTGGGAGCAGGAATATGGGAATGAAGTGGGAATGAAGAATTTCTTGAAACTTCGCCTGATCTTTTCATTGTCTTGGAGATTTGGCCTTCCTCTGCATCATAGGCAATTCCTAAGTTGGCCATAGAGCACAGCCTTTAGCAGATGATCTTATGGCCTGCACACTGTTCATCACAACCAGCGAAACTTATCAATCCACATACACTATAGGCCAGTTCTCTGATGGATCTTGTTACTGAGGATCTGCTGGTCCCAAGTAACTCCGAGCATTTTTGTAAGGCAGTGGAGGTGAAAACTGGGTTACATTCTCTACTCCTGCTTTGAGAACATAACCCAGCTTCCACAAGCATAAAAGAGGATACTAAGGACATAAGCCTGATAACCAGTGACATTTGTGTTCAAGGTTAGCCATTTGTTCCACGCACATGAGGTAAATTTGCCAAAAGTGACAGCTTTGCCAAGTCTAGCATCAAATTCCCTATCAAGGATAAGAGATCTGGTAAGCAGATAACAGAAGCAATCCACATAGTCCAGCATTTCATTATTGACACAGATTGTAGGTAAAATGTTGGTACCTTGGGATACTGATTAGCATGCCAAACTTAGTGCATGTATCAGATAACTTGTTTATCATGACCTGCAATTCATCAGGTGAATTAGAAGCAGACCCTGAATGGCAAGCTGGGTGACATGCCTTCTGCTCTGAAATCACGTGATGTTAAACAAGCTGCCGTCCATTCTTCATTCAATTAGTACAGGCAGTCCCCGGGTTACGTACAAGATAGGGACTGTAGGTTTGTTCTTAACTTGAATCTGTATGTAAGTCGGAACTGGTGTCCAGATTCAGCCGCTGCTGAAACTGACTGCCAGTTCTGACTTACATACAGATTCAACTTAAGAACCCCACGCGTCCCCAAGTCAGCTGCTGCTGAAACTGATCAGCGGCTGATTCCAGGAAGCCCGGAGCAGGGGCTTCCTGTAGTCAGCCACTGGTCATTTTCAGCAGCTGCTGACTTGGGGACACCTGGGGCAGAGCCGCCGGGGGGGACCTGTTCAAATGAATTGCTAGACACCAGTACACCGAGCAGGTGGCTGTGCTCTTAATTAAATGAAGAGCAGCTTCCCTGTGGGGCTGGGATCAATTAGATCAGCCAGTCTCTTATAACTACAGCCACATGTATTTTAAGAGTGGAAGTTTCCTAGGGCACTGATTATGGAGGTGGTTACAGCTACCGCTTGTCAGGTGTTTTGGAAATGCACACTACTTCCTCGGCAGGGTATTCAGAATTCTACTCAGATCAGGTTAAAGAATAACAAACCCAATACACAACAATCTTTCATGCCTTCATCTTGCAGATAATGGTGCACTTGATTCACCACTGAATTACTACAGTTTTTAACCCGTGTAACTCCACTGGCACCGGGACTGAAGCGGCAGCAGCGGCAAAGCCTCAGACGGTCTGCAGCAGACCAGGGGCACTGGAGCAGCTTACGAACGGGGCTTTCTCGCCCCGGAGCTCACAGGTAGCAATCCGCCACCTCGACCTCCGGGGCGAGAAAGCCCCGTTCGTAAGTGCGGATCCGACATAAGTCGGATCCGCGTAAGTCGGGGACTGCCTGTACACCAAACTAACCATTTCCAAAGGTGAATTTAAGAAGAATAAAGGAGAAGATACCGAAGCTGGTGGGCAATAAGATGCAGCCTTGCTTTATACCAGTATCAATTCTAAGCTACTATGCCGTTTCATTTTCATACTGATTGGTTACCTTCATTCACTTTTGTAACTCCTAGTATAGGCAGAACACCTGTGGACAGCAATTTTCAACAAAATCTTAGAGCAAACACCTGTCAGAAAGTAT